CTCCTATTGGATAATGAGTTGGTCATTATTAAATGATGGCCAACTCATTATCCAATAGGAAGGGGACACCTCACTTGTCCCCCCCTATTGGTCCCATATTTTGGGTCACTGTAGCAAAGCTCTAAAATCATACAAGGATGAAGGAATAGGTGTATCGGCAATTTAATGCCGATGATCAATGATGCGCTAGTTTAGATGTGTTGAAAACGTTATTAGTGATTATAATTACTGTATTTTCAATTCCACCAATGCTAACTGCACTGGTTATTGTATAATAATTGTTAATTTAGAATTCACCAAAAAAATCTCCTATAGGGAGCCCTCTGTGGGGATCTATTTCCTTTTTACTCTTTTTCGTTGCCTACGTGGCGTGCGGTGTGAAGAACCAGTCAGCATTGCCGACAGCGCGCACCAAGTGCGCGCGGCACCCAATTAATCACCCCATTAATGAAATCTGGGGCCCATACAAAGCTATTGTCAGCAGTGGCGTTGGCAGGCGCACGGAAGACAAATGTGCTAGTGTGAACGGGGCTCAGGAGGGCATCTTCGGAGGTCGAGAAGAGGGAAAGTGTGAACGGGGTTCGGGAGAGAATCTCGGGGCTTTCACGCGGGTTGTAGCTTTTATCATGTGCTGGGCGACAAAGCAAGCGTCACGATGCTTCACGGAGGCTTCAAAGGAGCATGTTAGTTAAACCCGGCCTTCCTGTGGATGCTCATTCGTTTAGGAGCTTTTTATGATGAATGTATACACCTATGCATGTAAATTATTATAAACATTTTCCATGAAAAAATAAATAAAATGAATAAAAACTACAAGTTAGGCTTTCTCTCAAAAACGGCTAAACTTAAACGAGGTTTTGTTAAATTTACCCTAGAACTTTTTTTTTTCTGTTGACAGCAAGAAGAAATATATAATCAATTAATCATGATGTTTTTCCCGTCCATTTTTAAATATACTATGCCAATTATTATATATTTCATCAAAGATATCATCACATTATTGGGAAAACATATTTTTTTTTAAAGTAAAAGGATGGTCTCAAGTAGGGGTGTGTATGGCTCAGATATGATGTTTATCATACCCATATGCACTTAGGAATAACGTGTGTGTGTATATGCGAATATATATACGTATGCAAAATGTATATGAGAAAATCATATAATATAGGAAAAAATATAGTCGCATGATACAAGAGAGTTCGTAAAATGTGTTTATTGTATTTGAAAAGCTAAGATTAGATCTCCTGGTTATTAAAATAGGTCTCAAATCTATTAATTTAAGTATTAAAACAACTACAGTTGTATGATCAACATATATTAAGATATTTCAGACATGGATCCTGATATTTTACTATACAATTGTATTCATAACTATATTCTATTAGCCATAGATATTAGTAGTCATATCTATATTCTAACGGATATGATTATAAATATTTCTGGGGACACGAATATGATTGTGCATCCCTAGTCTCAAGGCTCTCAACCTCTCAAAAACCCCAGCCGACTACTAAAACATATTTTAATTTTCATATTGCTTAATTTAGAAGTTTTTACTCACTCTAAAAGATTTAGCATCATTTCATCTCATCTGAAGTGGTAGAGACTTCTGCATCTGCTGATTTTGATTGCTTGTAATGCTAAATTGAACTAGTTATGCGGCCTTACGAGAAACGACTTTTAGTTTGAGTTGGCGCCTTAAACTTCCTAGTTGACCAAAAAGATTTTTAGACCAAAGGTAACCAAGATGAAGTTTTAATTAACAGTGTGAAAGAGGTTTAATGAGAATCTTTCTCATTAAATAAGTGTGAACTTCCTCTCCTTGGAATCTTAATTTAACTTGTTCCTACGACCAAATACAGAAATTTGAATTTAAGATTGAGTAGTGATAACTACACTATAATTTTTATGCTACTTTTACACTATAAGAGAAAAAGATGCTGAGTCTATTTTCTTTAACTTTTTAAAAAAATTGATGACTCGTCAAAGAAGCTCATATTTCTCTTTGCAGTATAGAAGTAATATACGAGAGAGTAACGTGGTTATCATTATTCTTTGAACTCACAGGAACAGTAAAGGTAATGATTACAGAAATATATTGCCTAATTGGAGAGGATCCATGGCGTGAATGGATTAAAAAAAGGAACGATATATAGTTTAAAAAAATGGGAATGTAAACTCCTATAAGAGTTATAGAAAAACCAAATAAAGGTGGCTTATGATATGTGTCACGTCTTACTTTTCAAAGAGTTCATTTTGCAAACTAGAGCTCAGAGTATAATATGGCCCATTAAATTTTGATAGTTGGTTGTGTTGATGTTAATAATCACACAGATGATATAGTGGGGTGAGATTAAGTAGGGGCCACTAACTTCTCTGAACATCTAGTTTTGGGGTGAGCTGTTCTTCCATGTACTTGTAACAACTCGTAAGAGGTGAACTGTGCAAGTCAGTGATGTACTTGAGTGGAAAAGTGGTGAACTGTGCAAGTTCTCAAGTATAGTAGAGTAGAAAAAAATTCTGAGAAATTACTTGTCTTCTCATTGGGAATAGTCGTCCTTCTTGTAATCATGCAGGAGGGGCATTTTAGTCTTTCCCCATCGAGTCTGAGCTAGTGACTGAGTCAGCGTCGACTTTACGTGCGTCAGCTGTGGAGTGGTCGCGGAATGGACGTTGTCACTTTGACATTAATGAGATGAGATAGGCGGTGCACGAAGCCGACGTAGTCCAATGTGTCATAAATAGTGCTGGGGATAGAGAAATGATGACGTCTGCCAAGCATTTAATGTGATGTCGACGCGCTGTTAGCGGCGGGGGGGGGGGGGGGGGTTGAGGTTGAAGTTGCCTTTTGACTTGTATCAAAGGGTGCCGAGAAGTAACGCCTTTCGAGTCGACTCAGCGAGACGCCAGCTAAGTAACTGGTTGAGTGGATTCATAGGGAGTCACCTTTGATGAGAGGACCGATAAGTATCGCCATTCGAGTCGACCTAGCGAGATGT